TTACGTGATGTGAAATGCGGTTTTAACGTCACGTTCAAGATTATTTCACGTATATAGCGACGTGCACGTGTGTTTGGATGCTAGTTTTTAAAGTTCTAGGTAGCCCAACATGCCGCAGTTTAACATGGATACTCCATTATAAACTCCAGACAAATTATACTCCGGACACATTATACCATCTTCCCGAGGCAAGGGCGTTAACTGACTATAAAAGTTCAGTTTCCACCCTTGTCGAGCTAGACTGGAATTCCGGAGTTACAATTTGGCTTGACTAATGAGACTATGCATAGTCCAATCAAAATCGCGTAACAAACTAGATATTCGGTTCGTAAACAACATGAATTTCAATGTGCATATTTCGGTGGACTGCAGGATTTGCCAAGCATGTGTTTCGCCAGCTGGGGCGTCGACATGTATTTTGCAAATCTTTTCATGTTTTTAATCAAGGTGCCCAGTTGAGTTTATACACTTCGCGAGGTAAGCCACGTTTTATTACAATATAGATCTTGATTATAGATCAGATAGTTTTGACTGGGCGCCGCCATTTTGTCTAAACCAAATGCAAGTAATATTAGAATGGAATCTGATTGGTCAATAGGAGGGACATAGAAGGGACATAACTCGTAATAGCCACTGGTGGCGCTACGATCGAGGCTGGAAATTCCAGCCTAGTTCGGCAAGAGTGAACTGGACTTTTATAGTCGGTTAACTCCCTTGTCTCGGGAAGATGCATTATACTGACTACGAGCCGACTAGTTCTTAACAAGCGCCAGGCTAACAAGTGCAATCTTTTAACGTATTTTGGTATGACGCAGACAGGTGATCAAACTACCGATTTTCCGCTTTCCTTCCAAAGACGTCGGTAGAGTAACGGTACATTTCCCAAGATGTGGAAACGCATACGTGGGTACATTGTATGCCTGCGGATAAAGCTTAGCGTAAAGCACACAATCTGATAAGCCACCTTTTCGCCAAAACTTCAATTCATCTGATAGCTTGATGTTTTCTCTCTCTTACACTTTTGTAACTTTTAACAGTAAAGCATGGAGTATGTCCGTAATGAATATCTCTAAATGCAAAACGTAAACTCCACACACGTTCCCTTCAAAGACACAACGTTGTGGATACGTTGTGGGAATAGTACGTCATAACATAACGTTCAGTAACATTGTGACAACGTTGCGTTAGAAACACAAGAAACATATTTCGTATAGGTCCGGCGCTAGCCCGATGAGACACAGGGTGTACTTCCGATCAAACCTAAGACATAATTTTTAAATGGAAAAAGAAAACAATTCGAACAACAACTCAGCCCCATGAACCGCAAATTTCAAAGTACAGAGAGACTGCTTAGATAATCACAGAAATAAATCCCCAGTATTTAATTGGAAATTAGCACGAACTTCATATAAATGTCGATATGCCCTGTCAAGAAGTGATGCTATATGTCAGGCACGTTAATCACGAAGAAAGGTGTGTAATAACACAATGTTGTAGGAATGTTGTAGGAATGTTGTAGGAATGTTGTAGGAATGTATTTTGGTTACGTTACACCGTAACGTTGTAGCAACATACAAAGCCATACGATTTAATGTTGTGGCAACATTATTCTTTCACATAACAACATATCCGTGTGGTACTTTGCAATAATAGGTCTTCAGCAACCCATGCTTGCCGTAATAGGCGACTATACTTGTCATAAAAGGCGACGCAGCAATGTGCCAGCTACATGAAGGCGGTCTGTAAATAATCGAATCTGGACCAGACAATCCAGTGATTGACATCATGAGCATCGATCCACGCAATTGGGATACGATGACATACATCAACCAAGTCAGCGAGCTTGGCCACCCGATCCCGTTAGTCGCCTTTTATGACAAGTATAGTCGCCTATTATGGCAAGCATGGGTTGCTGTAGACCTATTCTACCTCGGATCTTCACGGGTAGTTGCAAAGTACCACACGCATATGTTGCTAGGACAAGTTCCAATCAGGGGTCCTCACGGGTCTCTGATCTGTGAATCTAGACACTTGGACAAGACGGCCAGTTAACGTGTATACATGCACACAGAGTAAACATGTTAAAACGTGCGTTAATCAGTGAAGCTCTCCTCGGGTAGGAATACAAAAAAACTCGTTTACTCGAACTCCGGTATCTCGATACATCGTTTAAGACGACGTGACGGTCCCGGTTTATCAACGCCATGGTCTAATATTTTCCCTACTGGCGTGATGAAATTGTGCACATATTCACAAATACATGCGAATATATATGGATGCACATGAGGTTAATAACACCTTACAGATTAAAAGATTTTATTTTATATCCCGTGACAAGATATTGAAAATGTCTGACCTAATGTTATCTACTCTGTCATAATGAAACAAATGTATCCAATACAGCCAACGCAAGTCTATAATAGTTGGCAAGACTAGATTACTGCCATACAGACCATGAAACAAATGTACCCAATACAGCCAACGCAAGTCTATAATAGTTGGCAAGACTAGATTACTGCCATACAGACCATGAAACAAATGTACCCAATACAGCCAACGCAAGTCTATAATAGTCGGCAAGTCTAGATTACTGCCATACAGACCATGAAACAAACGTATCCAATACAGCCCACGCAAGTCTATAATAGTTTGCAAGTCTAGATTACTGCCATACAGACCATGAAACAAATGTACCCAATACAGCCAACGCAAGTCTATAATAGTTGGCAAGTCTAGATAACTGCCATACAGACCATGAAACAAACGTATCCAATACAGCCAACGCAAGTCTATAATAGTTGGCAAGTCTAGATTACTGCCATACAGACCATGAAACAAACGTATCCAATACAGCCAACGCAAGTCTATAATAGTTGGCAAGTCTAGATTACTGCCATACAGACCATGAAACAAACGTATCCAATACAGCCAACGCAAGTCTATAATAGTTGGCAAGTCTAGATTACTGCCATACAGACCATGAAACAAACGTATCCAATACAGCCAACGCAAGTCTATAATAGTTGGCAAGTCTAGATTACTGCCATACAGACCATGAAACAAACGTATCCAATACAGCCAACGCAAGTCTATAATAGTTGGCAAGTCTAGATTACTGCCATACAGACCATGGAACGAACGTATCCAATACAGCCCACGCAAGTCTATAATAGTTGGCAAGTCTAGATTACTGCCATACAGACCATGAAACAAACGTATCCAATACAGCCAACGCAAGTCTATAATAGTTGGCAAGTCTAGATTACTGCCATACAGACCATGAAACAAACGTATCCAATACAGCCAACGCAAGTCTATAATAGTTGGCAAGTCTAGATTACTGCCATACAGACCATGAAACAAACGTATCCAATACAGCCAACGCAAGTCTATAATAGTTGGCAAGTCTAGATTACTGCCATACAGACCATGAAACAAACGTATCCAATACAGCCAACGCAAGTCTATAATAGTTGGCAAGTCTAGATTACTGCCATACAGACCATGAAACAAACGTATCCAATACAGCCAACGCAAGTCTATAATAGTTGGCAAGTCTAGATTACTGCCATACAGACCATGGAACGAACGTATCCAATACAGCCCACGCAAGTCTATAATAGTTGGCAAGTCTAGATTACTGCCATACAGACCATGAAACAAACGTATCCAATACAGCCAACGCAAGTCTATAATAGTTGGCAAGTCTAGATTACTGCCATACAGACCATGAAACAAACGTATCCAATACAGCCCACGCAAGTCTATAATAGTTGGCAAGTCTAGATTACTGCCATACAGACCATGAAACAAACGTATCCAATACAGCCAACGCAAGTCTATAATAGTTGGCAAGTCTAGATTACTGCCATACAGACCATGAAACAAACGTATCCAATACAGCCAACGCAAGTCTATAATAGTTGGCAAGTCTAGATTACTGCCATACAGACCATGAAACAAACGTATCCAATACAGCCAACGCAAGTCTATAATAGTTGGCAAGTCTAGATTACTGCCATACAGACCATGAAACAAACGTATCCAATACAGCCAACGCAAGTCTATAATAGTCGGCAAGTCTAGATTACTGCCATACAGACCATGAAACAAACGTATCCAATACAGCCCACGCAAGTCTATAATAGTTGGCAAGTCTAGATTACTGCCATACAGACCATGGAACAAACGTATCCAATACAGCCAACGCAAGTCTATAATAGTTGGCAAGTCTAGATTACTGCCATACAGACCATGAAACAAACGTATCCAATACAGCCAACGCAAGTCTATAATAGTTGGCAAGTCTAGATTACTGCCATACAGACCATGAAACAAACGTATCCAATACAGCCCACGCAAGTCTATAATAGTTGGCAAGTCTAGATTACTGCCATACAGACCATGAAACAAACGTATCCAATACAGCCAAAGCAAGTCTATAATAGTTGGCAAGTCTAGATTACTGCCATACAGACCATGGAACAAACGTATCCAATACAGCCCACGCAAGTCTATAATAGTTGGCAAGTCTAGATTACTGCCATACAGACCATGAAACAAACGTATCCAATACAGCCCACGCAAGTCTATAATAGTTGGCAAGTCTAGATTACTGCCATACAGACCATGAGACAAACGTATCCAATACAGCCCACGCAAGTCTATAATACTTCCGCCAATCGGGATTACTGCGGTTTCTGGAAACTCTATCTGGCTCCTTTTTGTTATAATTTATTTAGATAATTTAACAACGTGTTTTGCTGTAAAATATGATAATTTCATAAACTAAATGTTAGTCTACCTATTCTACAAAGAGCTCTCTTAACTTTCATCATTACCGCTTGGTATGATTTAAGAAATGGAAGTGCTCTACCCACTGTAATATTTCCAAGTTTTCACCTGCATATACTGTTAAAATGAACTATTCATGCAGCAGAAATTATGATTGAGAAATATTTATTTTCAATATTACATCACTAAGTAATATTAAGTTGAAATTTATTTATCTGACATGCATGTGTCTGTTACTGCTGTGCAATATATCATATTCGCCATTCGTAGATATCACATTTTCCATTTTCTTACACAATATGCACTAAAAGCAAAATGAAGAAAATGGCATCCTTGATTCGGGACTAGATAGTATTGATAGAACCACACAGACTGGAACAGTCCCGCGTTCAACGTCCCCATACTTTCACACAATGCAGCTTTTCACTGTCTCTCGCAAATAGATATGGCATTCATTCGCTGCTTGTCCCACGAGCAGATTGGCGTTTTGATCATTCCTCTCAGGTAGGAGATGGTCCAGGTTTCCGTCCAGTCTCCCGGGGGGCAGGTACGGCGAGGTGCGGGGACCTAGTGGTAACAGTAGAAAGGCGAAGGGAGAAAGACGGCATTGTCCATAACAGAGAGACGGAGCAATGTAATTCCCGGCATTAATATCAAGCGGGTCGTGTTAATAAGACCTCCTGTCTGGGCTTAGTCTTCTAACGTCGGTTCACCTGTATTGCCCCCCGCACCAGGTGGTACGGGAAGGGGGATCTGGAAGGGACGCGCCCCTCAAAACAACGCTACCTTTATACTGCAGTGCCCCATTCTGCCAGACACTTAATATAGCCAGAAACATGTCCGATCACAATGAAATTGCAGATACCTTCCTGACCACATGCAGAGAAATTCTCTTCCTCCCCTAGCTGCATATGATTGGATATTGTTGTCCCGTGTTAGCCTTACCACGTTTGGTTGGAGCAAAGTCCAGCTTGCGGTGCGGAGAACAAAAGGTGCTCTGTTTTAGTGTAATCTGCGTAGGGGACGACAGGGCGCTGTGCTTAGTCCTCCTCTTTGATGTTGACGTCCGTGAGCTCCGAGACCCGGGGCCACGGTGACTCATTCCTAAGGGACACATTCTTACCTGTGTCAGGGGGACAAATATTATTTAATTGTGTGTCTTATCTGAAATGTGTTTCACAAGACGCCAGAATTTCATTTACGTCTTAAAGGTACAGGTCCTGTCTGTTGTACTTTGCAAAGCAAGGGTCGGGCAACTGGTACTGTTGGTTGGTTGGTTGGTTGGTTGGTTGGTTGGTTGTTTAACGCCGCACTCAGCAATATTCCAGATATATGACGGCGGTCTGTAAATAATCGAGTCTGGACCAGACAATCCAGTGATTGATATTATGAGCATCGATCCACGCAATTTGGATACGAAGACATGCATTAACTAAGACAGTGAGCCTGACCACCCGATCTAGTAAATCACTTCTTACAGCCAGCACAGGATACCTTGGATCTGTCTAACCCCACACCCGACAGGAGAGCTCCAACGAGAGTTGGGAATCTAAGGGACACACCGGATGGTGCTACTGAAAGTATCAGACCTCCCATCGGGGGTCAGCATTATCGCCTACTTGACGCACAGAATGTCCATTAAAAGCTTCTTGAGATTATACAACAAACACCTTTCCTGCATTTCCAAAGGGTTGCCGTCTTACAAAGATATCTATTGCCTATTTCAATCCACATTTTGACCAAACCAAGTTTGTTAAATGGAATTGCTACCGCGTCGTCTTACAAAGACAACCAAATACTCATGTTTTTCTTCACAGTGCAGTTGTACACACACACACACACACACACACACATACATATATATATATATATATATATATATATATATATATATATATATATATATATATATATATATATATATATATATACGTATTTCAATCCATATTTTGACCAGAACCAAGTTTGTTAAATGGAATTGCTACCGCGTCGTCTTTCAATGACGACCAAATACTCATTTTTTTCTTCACAGTGCAGTTATATATACGAATTTCAATCCACATTTTGACTTAACCAAGTTTGTAAAATGATAATGCTATTTTTCTAAAGAAATTATTCGAACACAGTCATTTCCAAATATGGCCTGTGCATTAACGTGTTCGGTACCCATTGCTACATCATTCCGTACTTAGAATCCAAGACATGAAGAGCAGCCTGTAAAACGATGGCTTCCATTTGTTGCTTCTGTTGTCATTGACGATGACATAAACACTCCGTTGCCAAGGAAACTAACCACAGCTCAACTACATGTGGTGATATTCTTAAACTTTAATAAAGACACAGGATATAATTTACAATGGAATGTAACCAGGAATGTATTTTTTTTTTAAAACAACACCAATTTATTCAATAATAATTTCAATATTTGAGTATACAATCGCTCTGGACATCTATACGTCTTGACCCACTACTAAAGCGAGCCGTTGGCATACACGTGTTCTGTGTAAAGAGGCTAAATCATTTCCTACTTCTAAATTTTGTTCCAAAGAATTCTGGTAATTATAACTGCAGCTCTTAATACCAAGAAATCGGGGGAGTACAGTCAGCGTTAAACATTACCTGAGAAAGTACATGGCCCTCGAGCAATACAACCATCAACAAGTTGCCTGACGCCCTAAATATACCTCGCCTCGCTCGTAGGTATGGAATGGTATTTAAGTACTCCTGCAGACTGAACACGGCTGAAACTTGAAGTAAGACTGATATATCGGTGTCAGAAGATGGCGGAAGATGAAATAGTGAGCCGAGAATCGGAGATTGGCCTACTTCTAATTTGCCCGACTGGAGATGGCAGATGGGCTATTTTTATCTCTCATCAATGTATATTTATATCTTGCCTCCTCGGAGGGAAAAGGCTGTACAGGTTTAGTGCATTGTATGTTGGAGTGCAGGGTGAGTAAGGCACTGGATGAGGTTGGTTTACCAGCAAAAACGAATTAATGTCGCCTCCTGATATAACGAAGTCGTTTGTGCCGAACTATATCGAAGTGTCGATCAACGTTAACGTGCGAATTAACGTCCACGCGGTAGAACGAACGTGGATATAACGTCTTAACGGTTATAACGAACATGGCTATAACGCCCTAAAGGTTATAACGAACATGGATATAACGCCCTTACGGTTATAACGAACATGATAAAACACCCTAACGGTTATAACGAACATGGATATACGCCCTAACGGTTATAACGAACATGGAAGTAACGCCCTAACGGTTATAAACAACTATTTCCCGAATGATTTCATTTATATGTTTTGGAGTAACGAAAACGGTTATAACGAACTGTATCAAATGTCTCGATTGCTGTTCTATGCATTGTTACATGGAATTCACGGCTTTGGAGGACTGATTTGTCGCCTTAAGGAGACACAAATTACATTTTTATTTACGTTAGTAACGAACTTGTCAATCTCATTTCAAATGTCCTTGCGGTTGAGTATAGCCGATTTGAGTTTTAGCACCTCTGAAAGGCAGTCACTTACGAAGGCAGGTTATCGACAGGACGGGGTGCACTGGTGTTGAATTTTACGATCATGTTTGGGTTTTTTTATTTTTCATTTGATGATGCCCTTTAAGTGTCTCTGCTTGTACTAGCCCGGACTAATGCCGGTTTTATACTGCTAACCTACTGAAATACCATGACGCAGTTTAACATGGATACCCCACTCAAACACAGCATACTGACTCTGGGCTGACCAGTCCTTGAATTAACCCCCTATTGATGCCGTGCGCCAGACAGGGTAACAACAAGTGTCATCTTTAACGTCTTTTGGTATCAAACCGGGGTCGAACCACCGACCTTCCGTTCTCCGGGCAGACGCACTATCCACTTGACCACGGAGGCCGTCTCTGTAAGAGTGGCCTGACAATCATTCTGGGTTTAAAATGAATCCCCTGTCCTTTAATCTTTCAAACTTGTTCCTTTCCTAAACGAAGGTTAAGATTTTAGATACTCGTGGGAGTGTTATATTCTCTATGAAATGTAAGATAGTTTCATGGAAATAAAAACATACATTTACAACAAATTGACATGAATATCCTGTGCAATATCAGAATATAAAAAGCAATATTAACCTCATGTTGTCGTATACGCACACAAACAGAAACTTTATTTAAACATGCTTGTTGGTGCAAGTACATTTAAAGGGGAAATGGCACCAATAAACTTATAAATGAACATTTCAAATATACAAAATGTGTCATTTTAATGACGAAACGAACAAGGCGAGTGTAGAATATCTCCTATAGGTTTCAAGCAACATTGTAATCCCGGGCGGTCGGGTAGCCTAGTGGTTAAAGCGTTCGCTCGTCACGCCGAAGACCAGGGTTCGCTTCCCAACATGTGTACAATATGTGAAGCCCATATCTGGTGTTCCCCGCCGTGATATTGCTGGAATATTGCTTAAATCGGCGTAAAACAATACTCACTCACTCACTTTTATCCAACTTGAACCGTGTTGATGTATCTTCCAGATATATCCTAATTTGGTCGGTTTCGTGAGACGTTCCGCACAAAAAATAATCCTGCCCAAGATTAACTGGAAAATGTCGTTATGACCATGTATGAAATAAATCAATATATTCAGTCCGCTGACTCTGTTTGTACTATTTATAGAAATATTGTGCCAAGCAACGGATTAAAGGAAGTTTATTACATTCTTTTGCTTATAAGTTATAAAATATCAACTGTTACCTGTTTGCGCCAGATCCGTGAAGATTCGGGGTAGAATAGGTCTTCAGCAACCCATGCTTGCCGTAAAAGGTGACTATGCTTGTCGTAAAAGGCGACTAACGGGATCGGGTGGTCAGGCTCGCTGACTTGGTTGATGCATGTCATCGATCCCAATTGCGTGGTTCGAAGCTCATGATATCAATCACTGGATTGCCTGGTCCAGACACGATTATTTACAGACCGCCGTCATATAGCTGGAATATTGCTGAGTGCGGCGTTAAACAACAAACCAACCAACCAACCAACCTGTTTGCGCCATGAATTGATATGAAGCTAATATTGTTTCATCTTTTTAACTGGATCATGATTTGTCCCTGAACCGCCTGTCCATGAAATCCTGGTAATACAAACGAATAAACGTCGGACCTATATTTTAAAAGTAATAATTATTGTATTTTTAATCCAAAAGAGTTTCGAGACAAATATGTAAACAAAATGTACTTGTCAACCCTAAGACAAACATTTCCCCCAAAAGTGTTTCAGAACAAATATGTACTGAATAACTTTATAATTTTCATCCAAGTCTGTTTCGATTTCCCTATGGTATATTTTGACTCGATTAGTTTTACACCGAGAACAACGGGTCCTAGCGAAAACGGTCAACGTTGAAAATGGCCACTGCGCAATTAGAGAAAACGGCCACTGCATATGAGAAAGCGGCCACTGCATATGAGAAAACGGCTAATAGGGTAAGTGAAAACGGCCAATAGGATTAGTGAAAACGGCCGATATCTCTGGATTTTTAAAAGGAGTAGAAGCAACAATATGGTCTTAAATCAGTTTTTGTTTTAATGGAATTCAACAGTTAAATTGTGATATTTTTGTTAACATTCAACATGTAATTTGCATGACTGATTCGATGTTTTGTTATACACGGAGTTCACAAATATTTTCTCTCTTTTCAAATTTTTCACATCACGTGATTGGTATCTCACAAATGACGTCTGACTAGTATAATTATGAAAATGTTTCAAATATAGACGTTTACTAAATTGTTGCGTGATATCGACATTTATGAATATCCACACACCTCAAAACTCAAATGTTGGCAGGTTGTCTTCTTGCAATCCGAGCCCCTAGGTCTCGTGGGGACGAGAGATCGTTCAAACTCATAAT